GGGGAGGGAGGCCCACAGTATTAGGAGACCTTGCAGGCCGGGCCCTGGCCCTGTCACAGTGAGGCTGGGCGGCTGCTGGGCAGGCCTGCAAGGGGAAGTGGTTCCTGGTCACTGCACTGTAGCTGTGGCCTCTAACATGCAGTGTGGTTAACTCTGGAACCGTGTCTGGACAGAGCCTCAAGGGTGTGCCGTGCCATTGGCCTCTTTTCTCTCTCCTGGAGGATTAGGGGTTTGGTCTGACACTGTCACATTATTCTCTGGGGAGAAATGCCTAATGCAGAGAGTCCTGGATTCAGTTTCTCATCTATGTCTCTCCACGGTCCTGGCTAGCAGTCCCGGAGCTGTGCCTGCTGAGCCTAGGGACTTGGTGTGTCTCATGTGGGTGGCTTCAGGTCTCCAGGGGCCACTTTGTCAGAGCACAGAGCATACTATACTGACTTAGTAGGACTCAAGCCTCATTGTGAAATAAAACCTCCAGTTGTCAACCAAAAATGACAGCTAAAATGACATTTACATATTTTGTGTTCTACCAGTGACCTGGGATCATTCAAAGCATCTAACTAGGTTACAGGGGTTTAATTAAAATACACATTATACTGAGATGGATGGATGGAAGGATGAATGGGTGGAAAGGCAGGAACCCAGGAAAAGTACCATTTTGATTAGTTGTGATATTGCTGATTATGAGGATATTTCTTTGTGGCCTTGACAACGTTATTTCCTCTCTCTCAGCCTCGGGTTCTTCTCTATAAACTGTTTCTGTTGCTGTAAAGATTCAGTTAGGTCATTGATACAAATTTAGTGGAAGTGACTTAACAGTCTGGTAAATTTAATTTTATAATTGTTATTTTAGAATTCTTTTACTCCGTAGTACATAGCATGTCCTCAGCTGTAAAAACACACAGTACACATACCCATACTTATATATTGTCTTAAAAGCTGACAAGCCCTTATGTAAAGGTCTGTGCTGGTGAATGCCCAGTTCTCCAGGCCGATGTCAGTGCTCTGTCTCCTCGCAGTGTGTGGAGAACAGATGGCTCTCTAAAGATACTATTAAAATGTGGGAAGGAAACTTCACAAACTATGATAAAACCTTGACTTCAAATGGTTGGAAACCTAAATAACAAGATTGTAAACATGTTTATGAACCGTGACTCGATGGCAAAGCCCTTTAAGAATTTGCATCCCCCTGGGAATCCTCGCTGTGTACGTAACTGCATTTTCCAAAGGATTTCAGGAGGATCACGATGCATTGCTGTGCTATTGCAGGCCGACAGGTCACACACTTCCTCCTGAGGATTCTGAGTGACAAGGATGGGGAAAGTGTCGAAGGTAACCCAGACCGAGACTGTAGTCAGGGCTGGTCTGAGGAAAGAGTCCAGAGGCAGTCAGAGGGTGAACAGAGACCATGGAGTCACTGGATTTAAGAGTTCGTTACTTTGTCATTGGAACAGCCATGGGCTTAGCTGGAAGTGTGATGGTCACCCTGAGCGGAGGGAAGGCCAGCCTTTCCATAGGTGACCATGAGGAGCTGGCTTCCTCTCCTGTGTCCATAGGATCTGCAGGTCCCAGGAGCCAGAAGAAGTTCCAGGATGGGAAGTGAGATGAGACTCACAGAAGCACTGTGCAGGGCCCTTTAATGAGCTGGAACCGGAGGGAACATGGAAGGGATACATGGGTGGATGCTCAGAGAAGATAACATAAATGCCCAGTAGTGTGTTCGCTGTCAAGGATAACTTGGTATTTAAACTGTAAAGGGAGGGGTAGACAGGGTTTGAATCAAATGAAGAAACTAACACCTAGCAGTGTCTGGAAGGAAAGTTGGTCCTGCTTGTCTGAAAAATCGGAGCCTTCGGGAGGAGCCTGGTGTGTGTTTAGTGCTGACCTGTTGTGAAGATGAGGTCACTGTGCTTTATTTGGTGTCTTGGGAAATTCACACACTGCAGGAAAAGGGGCACAGGAATGCAGAATACTTGTGAACAGTGTACCCATCCCCACCAGATTCTGAAACCATGAAAACTCTACACCGTATTTTAATAAAAGCATGGTGAGCATTAGGAGCCATGGTTGGCTTCACCAGACAATAGATTATGCTCTGTAAGTCAACTTAATATTTCTTTCCTCAAAACCAGAAAAAGACAGGGGGGCTGGCTTCACTAATATGTTCATTTCTACCATGCATTTGAAAGGTAACTCATGCAAATGTAGTTAAAAAGTTTTGAGGTAGAATCTGGGCTGGTCAGAAGCCACACTGAGACTGTCACCAATGCCGTGACAGCAGCCTCCAGGGCCTCACTGAGGCCTGTGTCTTCCTTTGAGGATGCTTTTTCCTCAGAGGGTGCTTTGATCTGCTTGTTAGGTATTTTACAGGGTATGACCCAGGATGGGAATGTTAGGTAAAGGGTGACAAAATGCTGATTCTGAGCAGACCCCTGGGAACAGAGACCAGCATCAGGGAGGTGCTGGACAGCAGGGAGGTACTGGAGAGTTTGGGGTCTTCAGCCTGCGGGCAGGAGTGGAGCATCTGTGCTGGCCCCTGCTGCGCCCTCAGGTGCCCGTCAATGGAGGGCACAGTCCCCTGTGCTTTGTCCCCTGTCAACCACATCAGACACTGTGAGTTGCTGCACCCCAAGTGACCCCAGCCCTGGTGTCACCAGGTGGACAAGAGAGAGCCACTGGGTACCATATTTTACAAAGAACAAAGGCAGACCCCATCTTCTCCGTGGAGGACCAAAGTGGCTGCATTAATGGACTGTTCAAAATTCTGTGTGGTGGGAGAGAAAAGCAGTTTGTTACGTGTCATTTCAGGACACAGAGTTTGAGTCGGCAGTGTTGCTAGAGAAATTTTTTATTCCATCCCCAGAGAGTTGTACAGTGATTAAAGCCAGCCCCCTGATTGGTCCTCAGGGTGGAGCCCAGCGCCAAGGAGTTGTAGTCTCAGCAGTATGGGAGGCTGAAGCAGGAGGATTCCAAGTTTAAGCTCAATTTGGGGAGTTTAGCCACTAGCAAGACCGTATCTCAAAATAAGAGCTAAGAAGGATGGTGATCAGCTCAGGCTAAGGTCTTGTGTTCAGTGCTCAGCTCTGCAATCAACTAACCAGTTAATTTTACAAATCGGTCAGCAGCCTCCACCACGGCTTGCATTTCACTTGCACAGTTGCTGAGGTTTCACTTGCTTCTCAAGGAAGCCCCGTGACACAGGGCAGCCCCTGCTTTTTGCCTGCAAAGGGAAGGCAGAGAGTGGAGTGCTGTGTGTGTGAGCCTGGTGGGCCGTGGGTCTTCTCTGTGCTTCATTTTCCACTTAGGTATTGACAGCTTAAACGTCCAGCAGCTGTGACTTGGCACTCAGTTCGTTACTTTGATCTAATGATTTTGCACAGATCCTGTTTAGTAATAGTGACTTTCAAGGGCCTGTCTCCATTAGGGGCTCTGAAATGGTTTTCCTCGTGCCCCAGCAATCACAGCATGAGAGAAGCTTCTGAGACCCCATGATTTTATGTGTGGTGTCCCGTATGTTTTCCACAGCAGCAGAGCTGTGTCTGTTCACCTCGCCCTGCGTTCCACTCTTGGATTTCGTATGCAAAGGGACGCATGAGAAAATGATGACTATCCAGGGCCCTGGCACCTCTGACAACGTTTGAAACTTCATAATTTTCAGAGCTAGTTAGCATATTAAAACAACCTCAGGCGTTTAGGAGGCACTGAAGTGTTGCAGGTTAAACAATTCATCACTGGAAGGAAACAGTGACCCTATACCTGGAGAGCGCAGAAAGTTCTGTAAGCATGCCTGCTAGATGGCTCTGATGGGAGCGGCTGTGATTTTTCGTTTTGTATTTTATTTAACAAACTGCATTCATGTCTGTGACACATACTAAACACATCATGGTAAACTGAGGCATATACAACACGTGTTGACCCTTTAGTTTCCCTTCTCTTTTTCTCCTTCATATCTCTCCCCACCCCTGATGGTCTTTGGCTTTCCATAAAATTCATCTCACCATTTCCTGCTATCTGTCTTCTATTAAAATAGGTGACTTCTAGCTAGGCATGGCGGTTCACACCTGTAGTCCAGAAGGCTGAGGGAGGCTGAGGCAGGAGGACTGCAAGTTTGAGCCAAGCCTGTGCTCAGACCTAATTAGAAACTTAGAGAGTTTTACCTCAAAATAGAAAATAAAAGGGCTGGGGATGAGGTCAGAACATAGGCTCTGGGTTCAGGTCCTGGAAGCGTACACGAATAGGAGACTTCTCCATTGGTGCTGGGAAAAGCAATTCCAAATTCCAGCTTCTGTTAGTGGTGTGCATGGAGATGATCCCGTTTTACTGTGGCAGGAGGAATTGGCCAGAATAAAGCCTGGCTCTAGGCTGTGAAGACAGGAAAGCAGGAGGTTTCCTCCTGGAGTGCTTGGGTGGTTTGTTAGGTCCCAGTGTCCTCTGAATACCCAGCTGTGTCCTTCCTGCTTGGTGTGGGGGCCACAGGGAGGGCTCCCATGCTCAGCTGCCCTTGGGGAGAGCTGTGCAAGCTCCACTGAGGTGCTGGTTTGCTTCATCAGGCAGACATGCGGGTATCCAGGCACATGAGGGCAATAGGGATACAGCAGTGGTAACCACCCAGGACCTGACATGCAGCAGAGTGAACACACAGCTCTGCATTTTGGTTTTTGTGCTTATTTTAAGGTAGTGCTCTGCAGCTTTCTGTGCTGCTTTCCTTCTCCTCTCACTGTAACTCATAGGGATGGAGCTTGGGCTGTTGAGAGGCCCCAGGGAGTGGTGCCCCTTGGGAGGAGAGGAGGTGTGAGGGGCAGGAGCTTGACCTGGGAAGCAGCTAGGGGGGCCCTGCTTCCAATTGCATCATGGCATCCACAGAAGCCCCGGAGCAGTGCTGTATCCATGGAAGACCCTAGAGGCAGGAGCAAGAATCACCAGGCCAATAGAACTGCCTCTAAGCTCAGTCACCAGACAACTGTCACAGCAAAGACTCCGCTCCTCTCCGTGCTTTTCAGATATGCAACGCTCCTGTGGATATATCTGCTGTCTGGAGTCTTCCCCAGTGCTGACATGGCCTTCATCTCCTACGTCTTCCTGAACTTCATCTTTGGAATCTGCACCCTGCTGATGACCATCATGCCATGGCTGCTGGCCATCATCTCCAAAGCCCAGGTCAGTTGTCCATAGCATCCCCCGCCCTGCTCCAAGGGCATGAAGGACAGGGACTGGGGGCCTTGGAAGTGTTGCTGCTTTTGCAACTGGAAATCAGTGGCCATGTGCCAGTTTCCACCGTCATTAAACTCCAGAAAGAGAAAGCAATTCTCACTGACAAATCTGCAGCATCACAGAGGCCATGCTCCTGTGCAGTGATGGTTGACAGAAGGACACAGAGTTGTTCCTGAGCCAGGGCTGTGTCACCACGGCATTCACAGTCACATCCCTGGCATCTTACCCAGGGATAGCTTTATGGAGGACTGGCCAGAGAGAGAATGCAGTGAAAAATGTCCCTTCAAAGTGCTGCATCTTGTCGGGCATTGGAAGGCAGGACGGGTCATGGTCAGTGACTGCAAGCTCAGTCCGGAGGACAATCTGAAGATCCTGTACTCTTCCAGAGCTAATTTTATTTTACTGCTTCTCACATGTTGGAGCAAAGGGCTGTCCTAAGTGTAGGGTATGTGGCCGGGGAGCATTTTCCCTGTGAGCCAGTGCCTCTGTCCACTTGACTGTCCCCACCAGCAGGTCACTTAGGAGCTGCCCCAGTAGGTGTAGAGGTCAGGCTGGGTGCTCCCTGCAGATCCCGGGTCCCCTCAAGCTATCAGCTCCCCACTGGTGCCTCCCTCTTGACCCCTGCTTGCAGCCAGCCTGGACACCTATTAGGCAGCTGTGCGAGAAGACTTTAGAGTCTGCACGCCCCTTGGCCCTTCCCGTTCCTGCTGTCTCTTCTCTGTGACATGACTGCTCTCAGGACTCTCTGCAGTTCATTTGTGTTCATATTCCTCATGGTACCCAGGTGTTTGCCTGATGGAGGATCTAGAACATCTCTGGGGCAGGGGCAGGGTGGCCAGGTGTTTGACTTGAGCACACCTGGGGGAGGGCCAGTGTTCTACTGAGAATGTGGCAGAAAACTCTCCCCACAAACCCAGCAGTATATTTCAGTTGCCCAGGTGGTGGTTCCAGTAGCTTCTGGCTCCTAGAAACAGGTGGTCACTGTGATGCAAATTATAAGAACCGGTCAGAGACAGCCAAGTACTCTACCTCTGTGACCCCCACGCCTTTGCAGCGCATGCAGACAGCCCTCCCTGGGCCTTCGAGGGCTGACATTTTGATGAACTGATTCCTAATCAATGCCTGTCTGATGCTACATAAATCTGCCTCCAAACCCTGGGTGTCATTCAGTGTTTCTGCTTGCCCTAGCAAGAGCCCAGCTTGGGGAGGGGCAGGGTGCCTTGGTATTTGGCTGTGAGCACATGTGGGGACCGACAGGGTCCAGGTGTCTGACACAAAGCTGAGAACATACCTGGGAGGTACAGTGTTCCTGGGGAGGCCCTCAGTGCTGGGCCCATTGCCAACAAGGCAAGGACTGTCCCCTCCCTAATCCAGGTGGCTTCACCCCTAACGATGATTTCAGAGGCCTTGTAGACTTAGTGGATAGGGAATATTATGGTGCCTCTTGTTTGGTAAAGCAGTGAAGTATGTAAATACCTATTATGCAGTCAATGAGGGGCTGATCTGTATCAATGACTTTTACAGATCTGGTTTGTCTGTACGTCTGTATCCGTATGTCTGGCCTTTAAATAGAAAGCTCGCAGAACAACTCACTGACTTTAGCTCCAGGAGAATATTAAAATCCCGGAAGCACCCATGGTTCCCTCTATCTCCTTCACCATCTGATAGTACAGGGCCCTCAGAGACGCCAGGAATCATGGTGACCCGGGATCAGACCCAGGACAGCTGATGTATAAGAAACCTCGGGGGTCAGCTGAAAGGTGCAGCTGCCTTACCTGTGTGGGTGGATTCCTTACTAACTCGGTCCTGCAGGCACTTGAGTCCACCCTTGCCTGGGGACCATGGCAGGACCCTGAAGATGAGGGACAAAGCCGTCCCTCTTCGTATGTCACCGCCTTAATTACAATTCCTGCTGAGAGCCACAGAGTTGTGCAGCTCCTCCGTTATCACTAATAATAGGAGCTCCTTTATTGTGGGTCATTCATCAATGCAGGAATATAGTTTCACAAAAAATAGAATTCATGAATCTCCTAGGACTGATTGAAATTTATAACCAGTTGCACTGAAAAAAAAAAAACTGAGGAAGGATTAAATGAAGCTTTTATACTTTCTCTATGTTTATTTATTTATTAGACAATAAATGATCTTAGATCAATAAATAATCTAAAGGTTACTACTGCATCTTCTGCTGCCCCCAACCACATTTCCTGACTGAGCCGTGTTGTAAGTCTGTATCATAAGGAAAAGCATACTCTGTGTAGTATGAAATAAAAAAATTGACAATCCTGTAGGTTGGGGGTTTAATGTTCCTGGTGTGACACTGTTCTGCGCTCTAAATACACAGGATGGTGATTTTTGCTGCCTCATAAAATATGGTTATATGTTAGGAACAGTTACATGGTTTGACTGCAAAGAGCAAAAGACTGTGAAATAATGCAAGTCTCGATTTTTGGTTGTATTGCCAGGGCTGGCTTGGTAGTGCTAGTTAATGTGCCCTTTCTGGGTTACGTGCTTTAAAGCAGCTGTCTGAGGGTAAAGATCAGCTCAGTGGACTAGCATTTGGGCAGGTTTTCTCCCAAGGTCGTATTTCTTGCCAGAAAGACTGTGCTGTGACCCCAAGGTGAGAAACAAGCCCCTTCCTGCCGGGCTGGCATGCACATATGGGCACACATCTGTCACTGACCATGTTTCCTTGCTGGTACTTGGGCTCACCTTTGGGAACCATGTATATTTATTGAAACACTGAAATGCAATTAAGGGAGCAGAGCTGGTGACACCCAGTGATTTGTCAAAAATGTTTAGTGGACAACTGCTGACCCTTGTAATCAGTCTCAGAAGGTAAGAGGCATGCGTGTCAGGAGGTAGGGACAGTCATAGAGGTTACAGGAGTCATTGAATTTTTAGATGCATCCAATTTAAAAGTTGAGTGCAACTCTACAATGTATCCTGCATTTTTACTTTTTCTAGAATTCTCTTTGTGTTCCCCTGCTGCTGATGGTTGGTTCTGTGACACCGTGCATTTCCGTGCTTAGGGGCAAGCACTATATATATTTACTGTCTGTTGTGTGCTAAAGAAGAATGAATCAGGTGTGCGTGCTGTGGAGTAGCTCATAGTCCCAGTGCCCAGTGTGACCTGCTTACGTCTCAGTCACGTCACTTATGAGCACTGATGTCTTAGTTTGCTCAGGATGGTAAAACAAAAAAAACCACAAAAGCCTCATGAGGTGAGGCATAAAGGAAAAGATACGTATTTCTACAGCTTGGGAGGTGGAGGAGTCCAAGACCATGGTGGTGTTAGATGTGAGTCTTCCCAAGTCTCCTTAGGAGCTTGCAGATGGCGGCTCTGTCACTGTGTCCTCGCACAGTGGGGACATAGAGAGAGCTTGGGTCTCTTCCTCTTCTCCTAAGTGCAGGAATTTCATCATGGGCTCCACCACTACGACTTCATCTACCCTAACAACCTCTCAGATGGCCCACCTCCCAGGACCTCGGGACAGCAGCTTTCAAATAAGAGTCCCCTGAGAATGCGAATGTTCTGTCCCTGTCATTTGGCCTCTGGGAATGACACTCAGAGGTGCATCCTGAGGCCAGTTTGTCCCCAGCTGTGGGCCTGTGGTGCTTCCAAATACAAAGATAGGGCATCCATAGCACACACACTCCCATTCCAGAAGGGCAGAAAGGAAGAAAGGAGTGACAGGTCCCAGGAAGTAAAACCTAGCGAGGGCAATGCCATTAGCTTCTCAGTCTCAGGAGTAACACACTCCAGCTAGACGGCTGTCTGAGGGGGTCACTGAGTAACTGGGCCTGCAAGACCTAGAACGTGGCTCTAGCAAGGAGGCAGAGAGGTCACCTGTATTTGTTGTTGACAGGAAATAGATTTGATTTTTTTTCTTTCTTCTCTGCAGAATTTGCAGAACATCTATGACACCCTGAAGTGGGTCTTCACGATTTTCCTCCAGTTCTGCCTTGGCCAAGGGCTGATAGAACTGTGCTATAATCAAATCAAATATGACCTGACCCACAGCTTTGGCGTTGATTCCTATGTGAGCCCCTTTGAGATGCAGTTCCTGGGATGGATCTTCGTGGGATTGGCCTCGCAGGGCACGGTCCTGCTCCTGCTGAGGGTGCTGCTGCACAGGGACCTTCTGCATTGGTCAGGGTATGTCCTGAAGGGCTCATCTTTGAACAAGTCAGGGCAGAACAAGTCCACCCTAGAGGTTGGCATTGTCATGGTTCTGATAAGATTTTCTGTTTCTTCTTTGTTTATTTGTTAGATTTTTGTTTGGTGTGAATCACTGACACTAGCAAGGAGAATTTCAGAGCATAAGGTGCTGACCTGCAGGATGATCTTTCCAATGACTGAGTCATCCCAGTGTATTTTCCACTTTGAAATTGCTCAATTTCCTGTTGCATTGTAGCACCTAAGGTGAACCTGGTTGATACCATGAAGTAATTTCTTTCCATGACTCAGTGCCATTAGTTTGAGGAGCAGGAAGGTGAGGAAATTTAGCCCCGTGTAGCGATGCTCCTTGTGAGACCCAGTTCCTTCTGAGACTGTGTTCTTGCCTTCGTCAGGCAGAGGTGAGTCAGTGCTGGCAGGGGCGTAGTGGAGGTAGAGATGTGTTGTGTGCCTCATGTGCATGCTCTGGTCCCCACACATACAAGCCTGAAAATGGGATTGAGGGGAGCTTTGCAAAGATGTCTGAAATATCCTCAGATGATACATCTGAAGTCAGTCAGGAAGAGATCTGCAGGCTCATGCACAATGTACTATAATATATCACCCTCTCCATGAGCTGAACCCCCTGACCTGCACTTTCTAACTTCTGATGAAGAGAAGCATTCTTTATGCACAAATTAATGAAGATCCTGCCACGGAACCTATTATAAAGATCTTTACTAATCTTTACTAATACAAAGATTTATAAAGATTATAAATCATTACT